AGGAGGAGGAAGAGGAGAGTTATAGTGAAACTGAGAGGAGAGGAGAAGCATTAGGAGCACAACAACCAGACTTGATTCCCATCTCGTGGCAGGGAGCCAGTGTCCACACTGTTCACTCCATCACAGCCCCCACAGCTCCATCAATCCTTACACCATCCGAGAAAGAGAAAGGGGGGTGGAGGGCCTAGAGGGATAGCGCTGGTGTGTAACTGAGGGAACAGGAAAGAGGGAAGGAAAGGAAGGAGGAAAAGAGGGTGAGCAAACAAAGAAGTAGGACAAAGACAGAAAGATGAAACATCTGAGAAAGAACAAAAGACGTCATTAGCTCCAAGGTCCAAAAAAAATACCTGCGACCCAGAAGTGACATGAAGAAATTGATTTTTTGAAGAAAAAAAAAAAGGGACAGTGAGACCAGGTCCTTAACTGACCCAAAGATAATTAGATCTGATCCAAAATGCACCTACTCCAACCAGAGAGAGATCCAGTGGTGGCAGCAGCACAAGCGACCGTGTTCAGGAGGAGCAGCAAAGGCTGTCGTTCCTGCACTTCACACTTCGTACAGTTGGCACTGGATCAACATTTCAGATTTATACAATGTTATTTAACTGGTAAATGAGTATTCAGATATATTTTCTAAGGGTTTCCAACATTAAGGTCAACACTGTCTTAAGTTTTCACGACCTATTTTAGCAGGTTAGCCAGGAAAATCTGGTGGGAAAATACCATCACATGCTGTACTGTATATACTCTGAGTTTTTTTGCATGAATGTAGTGAAATTTGGTCATATTTACTAACCTAATATTTCCAAGCAATGTCCTGTGGAAACAATATATGAACTATAGGCTTGTCAAGACTCAGACTGGCCCTGCTGCACTGACTATAGGTTGGGCTAATTGGAATTAATAATTCCAAATTAATAATTGGAAGACCTGAATTGCCAAATACACTCAGTACTAAAAGAAAAATGTTCATTTTAATACATTTTAATACCTCTTTAAGGAGACATTTAACCGATTAGGAAGCTTTAACATGCGTAGGAAATTAAAGTTTCTGGACTGTAATCTGTTAGAGCTAACAGCCAACTTATTAGACTTGAGTTCTGCTAATTATTAGACCTGATACAATTACAGAGGCAGAGACCAGGCGTGATAAGGCTGAGGGGAAATGGACTGATAACTGAGAAAGAGAGAGCCAGAGACCAGGAGCGAGGCAGAGACAGAGCGTGGGAGCAGGAGATAAAGAGACAGAGAAGCTGCATACAAATGACCCCTTTTAGCTAATTAGCAGTGCTGCTAAGAACCCTGGGAGAATTGGCCCCTCGGCGTCGCGGCTGTGCCCCAGTAGGTGGTGAGATGGAACTCGTGGCCACAGGGGCTCATAAGCAATGTGCATCATCACCAAACGCCATCAGTCATAGAACAAAGGAGGCACAGGGGTCAGAGGCTGCTCTTCTTCTCTTTCTCCACTTTTTCCCATTAACCCCTTCTTCCTCATCCTCTCTGCATCTCCTCTCCCCCTCCTCCTGTTTCTTTCCATCTTCTTCATCTACAGTCCTGATCCTTTGTGTGTGAGTCAATTAGCCAGTGCTTTAGTTTTGATTTATAGACCGCAGACCTCCCGTGGCCTAATGGATGGCAGTGAATTACTATGCAATCCTTATGTTTGTGTGAGTGTGTAATAGCAGGGGACGCAATAGAGGTCACAGAGTTGCTGTGTTCCGTACCAACCGCGTTTAAATCGGGGCCACTCAAGCACCAGATTTTCATCCCTCGCTTCAAAGAAATGATCAATTTGTAATGTCCAAATAATGAATTAGGGACAGTAACACAGTGACTGCTGTGCTCATTTATCTGAAGCATCTCAGTATCATTTGCCATGTGGAAATAATTAGGTGGCTCATAAAGACTGGGACCAGCAATTGTTACCCTGCGAACAAAGGGAGTTATTGGATGATTCATCAGCTGCTGGTTTTCTGGTCTTTGTTGCTCGAGGACAAGCACAGGCAGGTTAGAGACACATCCTGCAGAAGGTGGGGGGGGGTAGCAGAGAGGAGAGGTCAGGATAGGTGCAAGTATACATCACCATCATCACCCTCATCATCACCTGACTTCGGTAACAGACATACATTATGACCAGAGGCTCTTAATGCAAAGTCGACACGACGGTTTATAGTTCACAGGGTCACGATCAGAAAGTGCCTGACAGAAGGTCTGAGGGCGCCTTACTGCACACACACCCCCACAGGAAGTGTATCATCACTGTCAGGTGATAATCTTTCATCTCCACAATGTGAATGTCTCAGTAACTAAGAAAAACTACAGTGTTTGCTACTTTCAGCTGCTTGGGGGATTTCTGCAGAGATCAGGGGAAACTCTGTGATGAACTCTTCCATCACATCAGACATGTCTGCTCTCAAAGTAAATGATTCCCCAAACATATTATTTGGAGGCTCTAAATACTTTCATTTATTTTCCTCAGTTTTGTCATTTCTGCAGATGACTTCATTTGATGGTATCTGCCAAAAATGACATTTACATGTATCTAATCTATTATAGCACTCATGGCAACTAAAGCATGATTTTTCTTTTTGCAACCCCAAGATACAACCTAACCCGGAGCAGGACTCAAACTCCTGTTAAAGACCTGCTCTTTGTTACACCTATAATGAACACCTCGCTACGACTTCTATGTGACAGCACTCTGTGGACTAGAAGAATGTTATGTCAATACATAACAATATATTATGCCACTACATTTTCTCCAAATCACCGACTGTATAGTAAATATGGACAACATGTCACCACTTTCCTCCACTATGCAAAAGTGAAGCCAAAATATCATCGGTACAGTGGCTGCCATCTGGGCATTTTGCACCCAGACTCTGTGCAGTAGTGGCGTATCAGACCGCCAATCAAAGCTGTCAAATCATCCAAAGTACACCCCTTTTTGTATTGTCAAATAATTTACTGGAAACAAACACCAGAAGGATGACCACTTCTGCACACATCAACATGATAATATCTACCAAAAACCAGAGAACTCACCTTTGAGAACATTTAGTTGAGCTGTACTTTGGCTCACATCACATCCACTAGCAGTGGCTGGAGCCAATCCCAGCTGACACTGGGTGAGAGGCGGGGTCCACCCTGGACAGGTCACCAGTCTATCACAGGGCTGTAGACAAACAACCACACACACCCACACCCACTCCTACAGGCTATTTAGGTGCATGTCTTTGGCCTGCGGGAGGAAGCCAGAGTACCCAGAGAGAACCCACAGGGAGAACATGCAGACTCCACACAGAAAGGCCCCAGGTCGGCCAGAGCTCGAACCCGGAACCTTCTTGCTGTGAAGTGACAGCGCTAACCACTGCGCCACCCTGCTCTACACCACTGAGTAGTATATGAACATCATGTTTAGGAGAGAGAGATGACATAATGTAAGGGCACAATAAGGTGCAACTGTGCACACACACAGAGCTGAGATGTACAGATCCAGAAAATGAATTTGATCGACATGCTCTTTTTCTGAGGCCTTTCAGTGCTGGGAGACAGACCAGTGGTATGTTCTTGGGATCTGGCACATGCTGTGCTGACGTGTGGGCTTCCATACATAAAGAGGGTGGGGGCGCATCATTACTCCACCACTGTGTAACCCCCTTCAAAGGTTTAAATGCATGGGTCAGCCTGTTAGCTAGTAAGTCCATATGGGGACCTTTGTAGAGTGTCACTCTCACTGCTGTCACCGCTACGAAAGGCATAAAATATTCCCCCAACAAATAATAAAAAAAAGAAATTCAAAGACACAAAATTTGAAGGATGAAACCCTGATATATACTGAATCTTGTAATGTATGAGGAATATGAAATAATAATTTGAATAACTGGGTTAACAAAGATGCTCCTTCTGACATTTGCCAAACATCCACGGACAAGGAAAGTTTCAAAACAAATGCAGTGCAGTGAACACAAACAGACTTCATACATAAATTAGATCTGCTGCGTGACAATAAAATGATTAATGGATTCACAGAAACTGCACTGAGGACTCGGGGAGCTTTCACTGACCATTAAACCTGCTGGCCACACACTAGGTGACATTATATCAACGATAAAATCAAGTTAAAGAATCAGTGCTCACATGGGAGCTACAGAGTGTATATGTAATGGCAACAGCCCAGCAGCAGATGTAGAACCGTGGCAGCTGCCCTCCGGGGCCACTGATGGTACTCAATCTAACTGACCTCATTACAGGACCCGTGTTTGTTACCTTCGCCGTCTCACCCGAAATCTCAGCGGCCCGTCATCATGCTCATCAGAGGTGATTAAAAAGGCACCTGTCTAATCATCTCTTTTTCATGAGCGTGTGTGCATAGACACGAGCAGAGATTATTAGGGGTTTAATGGCTAACGAAGCCTGACAGGTGCTCCTCTTGCTGAGATTAAGGACCGCTGGGTTAATGGTGGTGTGGGTAAGATTGTCATAACTCACAATAAAGCCATTAAAGTAATATTACTTAGAAAGACCTCAGCGGATATGGGTTTAGCTCTCCAGTGAGGCGGCGGATATGGTTTTGTCTCCCCAGGGGGGCGGCCCCAGCGGCAGCTGCTGCCATTTCTCAAAGAGGACGAAACTAAGGAAGAAGAAAGTGATGAGACGAAGGGCGACACTGAAAGCTCCTGCAGCTGAATTCAGCCACAAAGCATTAGTGTAAGGATGCAGAAAAGCAGTGCAGTAACACCTGTAATCAAAGACTTACTTTGAGCTTCAAATTGCTGTTATTTCTCCTACTGACTGGCTTTGCAGTGTGACTGAAATTTACCAGAGCAGCAAATAAACATAGCAACATAACATGTTTGCTTTGTTTCCTTCCAGGACAAAGGGGAGCACATTCCTCCACTCAGTGAAACACGAATGACCAGATTAAGTAGCAGGAGCTTTGACAGCCTGCTCGGCAGTTCACTACTCCCCTCTGGTGGTCACAGGGGCCCCTGCAGCGTTCAGGAGCCACAGGAACAAAGGAAGGAGAGACGAACTCAATGGAGTCGACAGCAGGAAGCAGAAACATGCTGTGCACATGATACTGTGAGGCTGAGACTCATTTATCAGAAACCAGGCACTAGTTAGGTTCATAGATGTTTTATAGTCATTTGAATGTATAAGGCGGCAACCAGAGACTAAATAAAAGGACACCATTAATATAACCCCAGAATCTGGGAAAACGTTTTAGGAAACAGCTCACGGTGTCATATTTGAAGACAGGAATGCAACATATAGAAAATGCATGACTTTTTCCATTATGGATGTAATTTAAATGAAAGGGGATGTTTTTACAGAGAAACACTGTTGTTTATTCAGTATATTTATTTATCTGCCTTTAATGAACACTGCTTCCCATAAGACCTAGACTTTTGCAAGGTAAATTGTTACTGTTTCACAACAGAGGCGAGTGCATGAGTGGGTTGAGGGGCCAAGGTGAGTCCAGACATGTCTGTAACAGCAGCAGGACAGAGAGGATGACGACGATGACTATAAAGAGATGTGATGTGACTACAGAGTATGAGCAGAAATTACCAAACGAGAAATGTCTCAGACTGGAGGATTTGTTCCTGTAGGAGGGCGGGGAGCTTTTTCCATGTCTGTGATCAGGGGCCCATTGTGTCAGAATGTGTCCATGGCTGTCGGCTACTTGGAGTTAACAAAGCAGCAATATTATTTTATAACAACATATTAATCGTGCACAGTTTGTTAGAATTGGGGTTTTAAATACAAGTCCTGACACACGTTACAAATGTGCCTCCCTCCTCTGAAACTCTGCCAGTCAGAAGTCTCTACACCCACCCTGACGCTGCGACTACATCATCAAAACATTGTTCAAGATAATACATCAGCTCTGATCTTCATCTGACTTTCCCACGTTTTGAGGATTATTTTTGCCTCTTCAGTCTGATCCCGGTGACACTCGAGCCGCTCGATACCTGCAGCTGAACAACAGCCACCTGTACCCTCTGGGACCCCACCCAGTCCTCTGCTGCCTCGCTCGCTCCACCCACCCAGCCCCAAGAACAGTGCTCATCAGATTTCATGTCCCTGTGTGAACATCATCACTCTGCAGACAATACTGAGGCAGAGACGTCACTGGAATCGACTCACCTGGAAACACCTGAGCTCAGCAGCAGAATTTTTAGAATGTAAGTGTTTCATTGCCTCCAGGTCACAGACTGTTACACTGGTTTAAATCTGCTCCACTTTGGATACAAAGAAATATTCCTACACTTAAGGGTAAGCTCCATATTTTCTGAGCTTTACTGACTCTCCCACATTTAAACACTTTACTTTTCCCTTTCTCTGGATTTCCTCCCCCTTCTCCTATAGAGCTCCCATGAACAGATGTCTTCATAATTTCTCACAGCTGTGGTGTTATCTCTAAGACTTATTGTTAGCAAAGTAATTTTCACAGTAATTTCACAAGGATGTTATAGCAGAGTGCATGTGAAGACTGGCCACCATGACCCTGGGCTGATAAAAAAAGAAATGCTACAATTTATCTTCTCCTGTTATTACAGATTACAATGGGCTGCTTCACATTTGTCAGATTGATGATGGTCTTGTTCAACTTGCTTATCTTTGTGAGTATGTTTCCACTTTGTGTTCATATGCTGTGTGAAGAGGAGGAGAGTTCATTTACTGTGTGAGACTTTTACATGGAAAGTAGAGTGTGAGGTAAAAAACAAAAAAACAACTGGCTTTCGAAACAAAGCAGAGAAAATCATTTCATCCGCCCTCTGATGCGGAGACACTTTCTGAGCACTGTGGCAATTTTCATCTCATTAACCTCAAAGTTTCTAATTTTACCACCTGCGTCTTCGGCTTACTGTTGACTAATGTGGTTTCTGAAATGGTAGGAAACTCGGGGGGGGGGACTGAATTTGCCTGCCAGGTTGAACCCACCGGGGCTCCTGCTGTCACAGATGAAGCTTTCAGCGCAAGTCATTTTCTTCACATTTTCCATTTGAGCATTGGTGCTTAATAGATCTGGGGCTGCAGCCCTGAAAGTCCCAGCAGCGCAATGATTATGACGTCCCCGTGAAACATGCACCACCAGAGCAGAAGAACAACGTGATTCTCTGCCCATAACATCAACACTTCAGCCGCTGTGTTTCAAGTTCGTCTGTTGTTTCCAGTGAATTTATAGCATTCATGCTGTCTCAGGGAAGGATCAGCACGCTTGTCTTATGATTTTTATGTAAATTCATAAAGTTACAAACATTAATTCCTGTACATTCATAATGTGACAATTTCTCTTCAATAATATGCTACACTAACAGATTTTTGTGCAGCTGACCATGGAAGACAAAAACATTTGGATACACGGCTTCAATATTTGACTGAATTATTAGAGTTAAAAAAAAAACATTTCCCAGTAAGTTACCATTTCCTCACTTACTGACACTGGGAGTCAAGATTATGTCTTATAGAAACATGTGCACGTGGCTACAGTACGTCTCAGATTTCAATCCATCTCAAGTACTTTGTTGATTTTACACTTGGCTTTTCTGATTTGCCAGGATGCATGAAGTGTAAATTGGGCCGTTGCGTATCTGCTTACCTCAGTTGGAATGGCAGCCCGGCCTCACCCCAGCTTTGCACAGCTCGCTGCAGTATGCTGCTGTGTGACCCGAGTCCCAACCCCCCACTGCTAATGCCGCAGTATTGGAAAAACTACCCAACCAGGAGGTGAAATTTGTAACAAACATAGAAGGCAGGCCGTGCATATCTCATTCTGGCTTCTACTGTAGTGAGCCAATATGTGAAGGATGCACTTGAATTTGCTTTAATATGGAATATGATGGGCAGACAAGATGACTTGTGGATCATTGTGACTGATTTAAAAAAAAGATGTCTAGGAGCACGCAGATTTTTAAATCTAATAACCTGATAATCAGACTAAACCACACTTTTCTAGTCTGATCCCATGTTTATATTGGCCACTTTCCAGAGTTAAAGAGTTGTTATAAAGACAAGCCAACTTCTACTACTGTCATCACATTTGCGGCCATTGAAGATGGTCGTTCTTAAACCTGGCTGCCACCCAAACCAATCGGCAGAATCACTGAAAACAATCAGCTCTGTGAGCAGAGAGGTCTGGAGCTGGGCTAGAGGTACAGCGGCTATGGTCATCTGAAACATTCCCTAAAGTCACATGCACTAATGTAAATAATGCAGCACTGACACAAATGTTAACATTTCATGATTCAAAATAAAAACACCAAAGGCTGTCAAAGTCTCTATCACATTAGTTTTAAGCAGACTTTTAGCTTCCGGTGGAGGCCTATGTTTTTCCTCTGCCTTTACACATTGGCTTGACATTGCTGCAGAGCCACTGTGACTGAAGTGAACATATATGTGGGCAGATCTCTGTGCGAGTGCTGGGACTTAATAACATTGTCTGTTCCCAGTAATATGAACTATATACATGGGTCTTATACTCGACAGATATCTTTCTCGTTCCAGGCCATTTAAAGAAAACCTGCTCCATTCTAAACGGGGGAGGGACGCTCTCTTTTCTGCTTCCTCTGCAGCTTTCTATCTCTTCTCCGTATTCACCACCCCCTCCCTGGAGCCTGTTATAGGCTACATTTGCCATCTCCATAGATAGGACACTGCTCCCCAAGCCTGATTTACTCCCTGTTCTTGTGCCATGTGTGTGCTAACACAGCATCCACCTGTATGTTACACACCAACAAAGGGATTAGCCATCTATTAAAAAACAAAGAGTGGCAGTTATAATTATACCTGGTGAGAGATGATGGTGGCAGACATGGAGTTGGGGCGGAAAATATGCCTGTCTTATCGCGTTTAGCTAACGGTGCAGTGATGGCACTGAACAGGTTACCCCAGAGTGAAAGGTGGGGAGGGGCAGAGAAAAAGAAGGAGAAGGACTGGAAAAGCAAGAAACAGAAGAGAAGGAGGGGGACATGATTGAGAGAGGAGATGTAGGAGAGGTTAACGCCTGACAGGAGATGTGGAGTGTCAGCGCCTGATGGAGCCTGACAGAATACATCAGGTGTCAAACCTGAGCAGAGGAAGAAAGACAAAGACAAAACTCAGTAGGAGCAGCGCGGGGTGAAACACGTAGTGAGAGGGAGAAGGACGAAAGGGTGGAAAAGAAGAGGAAGAGAAGGTTAGAGGTGGAGTGCTGAGGACCGAGAGAGGTGACGGTGCAATCAGGTGATTTCCACACAGTAATGTGAGCCACATAGTTCTGATTTTGATTGTGATGAGCAGGTTTTTCCAGTTTTACATCAATAGATTTCAGTGAATGTGCTTCACTATTCCCTGACGGAAACACACCTGTGTTCCTGATACATTTAGGATAATGAACAACACAATTACGCATCCAAACAAAGTCAAACGTCTCTCCTGCTTTTCTTTTTAAACCCAACCCTAACTGGTCCATGTCCCACCTTCAGAACATGACAGGGGTAATGCTGCTCATTAGGGCGGTCCCAGTACAAAGTGCAATGCGATGTTTTGGTTTCACTTGGGGAAAAAAAATTATATTTGTAGTGAAATTTCATGTGAAGGTTTTACTGCAGCCACTATTTTTGTGCCCTGAAATGATCAGGATAGTCCTCGTTCCAGCATGCATATGGACCTCACAGCAAAGGAAGCCATCGCCATCATGGCTGATGCCGATTTTGTTGCATCTTCCTCATGTCACATTTCACCATGGACTTCCTAAATAAGGACCCAGTTGACTGGGGGGATGACCCATCCCTCCACTTCCACCACTTGTGTGAGATAACACTCATGCAGAACTACAGTCAGGTCCTGATGAGGGATGAGCAGGAACACCAGTGTCTGCTGCAGGTTGTCGAGTGGCATCGGATCAGTTCCCTGTGAAGTTGACAGATTCAACATTACTCCTACAAGAATGAATGACTGTTCCCTAGACTGGAGACAGTCTGATACTGCATGGGCTCTTCTTCATCTGTCAGCTGGTACTGAATCTTTATTTCAAACAGGAAGGATTCCACTTTTACTTCTCGCACTCATAATCAGTCAAACACTAAAATGTTTGTGTGACAGTGGTTAATAAAGTTGTCTGTACAAGATGTTTGGTACTGATCATTTTCTTGTAAAGATGAACTATTTTATCAAGAATCACCTAGAGAAAGTCCATTTTTTGTTTTTGTGTACAACTGAAGTTCGCACTGATGTTTATTGCTAGGTTGTTGCACAAATATATGCCGATCATGTTGGATCCTCCTGCAGGTGGCCGGGCTGGCCCTGCTGTCCGTGGGGATCTGGGTGAGTGTGAACGCGGCCTCCTTCCTGCAGCTGCTGGGGCCATTCTCCACCCAGGGCACATATTTTGTCAATGTGGCCTTTTTCTGCATCGCCATCGGGGTTCTGCTGATGCTACTGGGGTTCCTGGGCTGCTGGGGGGCCCACAAACAGAGCAAATGTCTGCTGCTCACGGTAGGTGTACCAGCCCTGCTTTATAAATGCTAAGGCAAGGTGAAGGCACAGTATCGGGTTTATGTCAACAATGTGCACAGTGGTGGGCGGGAAGGTGCAACTGATAACTTCTGCTCATTCACGGATCAGGTAGCCAAGCTGCCAGAGTCGTCTGCCAGTCCTGGTAGGACTTTAAGGCTGTGACGTACAGTTCTGGAAACTGGAAACACAAAAAATAAGCTTTTCATCCGTCACTTTCAGATGAGGTGACAGACAGATGTCATGCCACTGGTTGCACACTGAGACCAAATGAAATCAACTTTGAAATCACATCGAAGTTGAAACAGATCAATCTGCTGCTATGAGCATCATCGAAGTTGAAACAGATCAATCTGCTATGAGCACGGCCTGCAAAGTCTGGCGTCCTCAATATCCTCGTAGGGAACAATAATTCATGTTGATGTAAAGAAATTCTAAGGACAAGAAGATTTATTTAATTTCAAAACATACAGAGGTGATGAAAAAGGGGACGTGGAGAGAAACTGATAAGAGTCAAGGATTGGAAACAGTGACTTTCTGAAAATATGTTCAGTCCAGCTGGAGACTAAACTCCACTAATGCATGGGCTGCTGCGATGGATGAAATCAGATGTTTTGTCAGAGTTGTTGTTTAGGACCGTCCGTCCTGTGCCCAGTTTCTCTTAATATCTAGTTTCCTCCTAGAGTCCAAAGACGCATGTTTGGTTAACTGGTGGCTCTAAATTTTAGTCTGTGTTGGTCAGCTCTGTGAAAGACAGGCGACCTTTTGAGGGTGTAGCCCCCCTGACCCTCTACTGGATAAGCAGGAATAGCTGACGTATGGATAGATTTACTGTTTTGTTTTAGTGGCAGTGCTTCCAGAAGCAGCAGTTTTCTCTGTCCGTTTGGGTCCAATTGGGTACCGAAACCTGGCACCGGTTCCTATACAATCGGTATCTGAATCCACCCCCAACCCCCGCAAATCAACCCCTGGTTTGTTCAACCTACAGTCCAAAACTCAAACACATTCAGTTTACTATCATAACCTGAGAATGTTGCAGTTGTTTATCTGTACATTTTGTTGGTTTAAACATAGCTACTCCAAAATGTTGTATTCTGCTTAGGAAATACCTGCTGTTAGTTTTTTATTTGTGGAGTGCAAACTCCTCCCATATTGCTAAAAAAGCCAGGACATAGCCTCAGTGACCTCAACTGTAGCATCAACATGGATTTTACAGCGAGGCTGTAACTTCTGCTGACCAGCAGCCAGTGCTGACACAAGTGGAAATAATAGGAAATCTGTAAACGCTGAAACTTGTAACTGTAGCACAAGAGCCGGAAAGGCAGCACACTGACTCAGCTACAGAGTGACATCTATGTAAAGTTTGCCAGCATTAGCCACCAGACGCTGCTGAGCACACAAGGCCAAATTAAAGTCCACTAGATTGAACTGAGCACACGTTTTACTGCTTAAGGGTTTAACTGTTCATTAGTGAGAGGAGGAATGTGCTGTCTTGTTTTGAAACATTAAACAGTGTCACTTTAAAGCTGTAATCAGCAAACGTTTGACATTCCTCTCTGAAAAACGACTTAAGTGAATAATTGGTTTTCTATCCACTAATTGACTATGTGACTTATTGTTCCACTAGTTCACCTCCTGCACAAATCGTCCTTCAGAGTGAGCTGCCTGCACTCAGTCCCACTGCCGCTTGTATGAGTCCTGTTTTGTACTAAATTTAAAGGTGCAGTGCGTAGGATTTAGAGGGATCTATTAGTAGAAATGGAAGGTAATATTTACGATTGTGGTTTCATGAGAAATCAACTGAAAATAAGAAAAAGATGTCATTGTGTAGACAGTGGCAGGCTCCGCCATTTGGGAAGGTGGACCCGGAAGTGGAATGCTACATCACATGTAACAACAACACAGCGTCGCTGGAAGACAAAGAAGAAGAAGAACGCAACAAGTGAACTGCTGCTGCACCTGAGTGAAGGACAACAGACTTCAAATGTCTGAGCTGAACTGACTGAAATGATTTGGATTCCTCATTTCTGCCTCAAGTTTAACATCTTTTATTTTACCTAGAGGTTTTACCATTTGCTTTTTATTGCCTGTGCACAATGCAGAATAATAAAACATATTATTAAAACATTTCCTGTGTTGTGCCAATAAAATGTGACAGATAATAAGTCTGTAACTTGCCGCTCTTCTCTGCTGTACATCTTAAGCTGAATATCTTTGGGTTTTGGACAGGTGGTCGGATTAAAGAGGTGACCTTGGGCTCTGGGGTCAACCTCTGTCATTAAAAACAAAATTAATAACTTATTAATCACTAATGAAAACATTTGTTAATTGCTAGAGAATAAAATGCTAGTGGAACTAAACTGGAAGATTAAACTGTGAATTTATACTTTGATTTTGTGAAACTCATAAAAACCCTTTTCCCTCCCTGCAGTTCTTTTCTGCCATCCTCATCATCTTCATCGCTGAACTGGCAGCAGGAGTCGTGGCTCTTGCCTACTCTTCATTTGTGAGTAACCTCTTCCTCCATTTCTTTTTATTCAGTGACTAATCACACCCCTCTTCCTCTTGCTCTTCGCTCTGTTTTGTCTCCTTCTCATCCACTGTCTGTCACCTCCTCGTGCCATCTTCTACATTTTAATTCCATGTAAATTCTATCATAGCGATGTGCATCACTGAATTACTGATTTTACGTCCACTCCACTCTGTCCAGGTACTTAATGAGTGTGCGACAGCCCGAGGCTGGATGTGCTGTCTCTCACTTTGTGAATTTATTACTCTGGAATATTGAAGCTAAAGCATTTTGTATGCAGAACAGCCTATTTACACACGTACCTCTCTTTCTCACACACACAGTCCATTTCCATTTAGTCCCATGGACAATAATTACATGAATTTCAAATGAGCTACAAAACAAGGTTAGTGAAGACCGGACCTTAATAAAGAAAACAGAAAGTGAAGTTTTTTTTAATCTAATCAATGAAAGTATCCAAGTCCCCAGGAGCTGGTGAGGTAATCAAACACACACCCGCCTGCAGGGGGGAGCAGATGAATGCAGCAGAGCAAACTGGGAATTTCATTAGTTTGTTTAATTTATTTGTTTCTGCTGCTGCTGCTGTTGGAGCTACAGCTGCACACTGCAAAAATATCTGACTTCCTTCACTAGAAAAACAACAGCAGTGGCTGATGGTTAAAATGCCTAAAACAACCGTTAGGAGCTTTTTTTTTTTGATAAATAACATCTTGCAGCCATGCCAAAAGCAACAAACTGAAGAGGCTGCAGCACCTCAAAACTTCCACCTTAAAATCAGTGGAGTTTACAGGAGCAGGAAACTGAGGCATACTGTTAAGAAAGTAGTACAAAGCCTCTTGTTTTAGACGGAGCTGGGTGTCACGTGAGTCAGCTTCAGTTGGAATAAAATTGAGGGTGTAGAGTTAGAAAGCAGAACATTTAGCAGACCCCTGTAGCTGTTCCTCATCTTTGCTGCAGGCTCAGGGACTTAACTACTAACGTAACACCTCGGAATCTCCTATAGAGCTGAATTATGGGTAATGCAGGGGCCAGATTTTGACCAAGAAGGACAATGCGTGGAATAAAACGAGGTCACATCACAACTCTGTTTTACTGCGCTACACTAAACCATGTAGTTCTTATGACTGAAATCAACCAAATGTTCATCATTTAGCTTTAAAGACTTGTTTAAAAACCCGTAACCGCAGTAAATTTCTCAATAAAAGTGAAGAAAAGCCATCAGCGCACTGATTTATTTATCTGTGAGTGTCATGTTGTAGTAGTCTTTACATGACCCTGGGAAGTGAAGCTGCACCTGCTCCTTTGCTCAGTGCAGGATTGTTGAGGTTAGACTGTGTGAACGACCTCAGCCGCAAATAGCAATTTGTACGTAGTTAAAGTTTTACAGCCTATCATCATCTGTTCTGATTACCAGGAGTGACTTTGCTACAATGTCAACCTTGCAAACAGCAGTTAAATCACTAAAAGGGGCCAAACAGTATTTTTTAAACAACACACCTGGTAGCTGAATGTGAAGGCAGACACTACATCTGCAGCTGTTTTTCATTTTCTAATGGTTTCATTACGATGTTTTATCACAGTCACAGAAACAGATTTGTATTATTTTCTATCTCATCTTTTATTGCAGCACAAGTAATAGGCTTGGTTACGCTAACAAAGCTCAGTGCAACCTGGAAACATGATACTGAAATGTCAGTTTTAGTAAATAAATATTCATGTTTTAAGAAAACACATTTATGATTCATCTACAGACGGAAACATGACGACATTTTCTGCAGTGCACGAGTCTGCCTGTAACTTCTCCGTCTTGTTTATACTCTCTCAATTTTAAGTGTCTGCTCTCACACAAAGAAGCTGTGAGAGCCAGAGTGTGTGTGCGTGCGTGCGTGTGTCCTTGGAGGCACTGCTGCTGCTGCTCTGGTCATTTTGGAGAAATAAATCTGCTCCAACTCTCGCCTGTCATTTACAAAAGCCGAGGTGAGCAATGCAAAAAGCATCTGGCTAAATGGACAGCAAGTGTGCCAGTGTGTAGAGGGAGACAGAGCTGTGGTATTGTTTAAAGCTCAGTGAAATGTGAGACATGACTCACAGATTTGTCTTCCTTAAGAAGATGGCAGATATGGCTTAGAGTCGATTTAGCATCACCTGCTCATTATAAACAAAAAGGGCACGGTCAGTTCCATCGTGAGCATGAGAGTAGCTCTCTACCTGCTTTTGATAAGAGAGTAAAACGTAGTAGTATCAGAACGACGACTATGGTCAAAATGCATTTAATACATATACTGTACATACTCCATAGACACACACAGGTGCCACTTTCCCTCACAAATGCTAACCTGGTGCTTGGCATCAAATTGGCTTTAAGTTAAAAGTGTAAATAAAAATGTCAGCACAGCTCATAGACCCAGGACGTCTATGGAATTAAGAGCACAACCACTATCAAGTACTGACTTTATCCACACATATGAAGTTCAGTATCCCTCTGTTTGTCTAACGCGTACTGATTCTTTACTACCTCACTTATTTACTGTGACTTCTCCCTAAAACATGATCATTTTTCAACAGTAATAATTTAGGTTAATATTCCCCAAATTCAGGACTGAGCTCATTTCCAACAGCAAAAACAAGATTTGTGTGTAGAAGTTGTTCACTCCATTGTATTGATAGATACATTATCACCTCACTGTGCATATAGGCTTTGTCCTGCCTGTCCACTATGTGTGTGTGTGTGTGTGTGTGTGTGTGTATAAGAGCCCGTATCAGTGTGTAAGCATGTGAGTCAGTGTGTGTATTTACCAAGATGTAGCGAGGCATGGAACCGACTGACGGTGATGAATTAGCCGGCTGGTAATGACCCTCTCTGTTCCCAACCAGTCTCCCAGCTTCTTGGGGGGCACTTTTAATTAGGGAAGTATCCCAGAATCCCTGTGGGCATCTTGTATGCCTTCACTGTCCACAGTCACACACATAAAAAAGGGGGGGGCACTGATAAACAATCGGTTGCATGTGGCCACTTACAGTAAACCACAGTCCCTCCCTCCACATCAAATGGCAGTGACTGTGCACGACGGCATTATTAATTAAAATGGAAAAAACGAGGAAGAGAAAAGGAGGAGGAGGAGGTGAGAGGTGAAAGAAAGCTAACCTGTGTGCATGTGAAGATCCTCCCTGGAGTCAAACTTGCCTTTTTCTGCACTTCAATAAAAATGAAATCAGACTAAATGTGTCCTGTCCCAGGCCATCAGCAGCATCTATATATATGTAAATGCGCTACATTTACAACAATAAAAAAACAGAAGAAGAATGCAGGATAATGGCTCGGTCGTCTTTTGATTTACTTTCATTTTTTCCAGGTGCCAGATCGGGGCTGTTTATTTCCCAGATGCTTTATGTGAAAGGATATTTATTTAATTTCTGATGAATAGGCAACTCTCAAAGAATTACTCTTCCTGCCCGTGAAATCAGCTGCAGTGTTTTATTATGTCAGGTTTCTCTAGTGCAGTGTGTGTGTGTGTGTATACTTAAATGTGTGTATATGCACGAGACTGCTGAACTTTGACAGCGAAAGCGCTTCGATGCTTTTATACCTGATCACAGGTGTGTATTTACATATGTAGGCCTCTACATAATGGGCCCTAAATAAAGACAGAGTGAAGCACCGGGGGCACTGTCAAGTTTTATTTTTTAATTTAGAAAGGAAGACCTTTTTAAAATGTTACTCTTTTGGAAAGTAGGGACATTTTTGCACAGCTGTGACAGTTTTTGACACTGTGGCCATTTTGAAAACTGCAGTTTTTTGACATGCCAAAACATTTTTTGGTTAGTGTGGAAATGTGTCGACAGTGTAGACATAAAAAGGTGTAAAAAGGGTGAAAACACTTTTGGAAAGCAAGAAGATTTTTTTTGATTTTGGAAAGTAAGAAAGTTTGGACAATGATGACAAACTTAGCAAATAGAGATGTTTTAAAATATTTTTGACATAAGGCTCATTTGATAAATTCATAATATTGTGGAACAGTGACAACAGAACATCTTTGAACTGAGGATATTTTTGAAAAGCTTTGTCCAGTCCTCACAGGTTAAAAAGGTGTTGTTGGGATGAAATTAATTGGTCCTTAGTCTTAGTCTTTAGTTTTTCTGCAGGCTGAGGGGATTCTGAAAAGGTGGGCGACCCCGGTGTTACGGGAAGAGTACGGCACTGATCCTGTGGCCACTAAGATCTGGAACAACACCATGACACAGGTAACGTCCTGCTTGTTGTCATACTGTTTTTGTGCATGTTGTAAACTTAAGAAAATGGACTGGTTTAGCATTTCTTAGCTCTTAACTACAACCTGCACATGTATATACAGAATACTTCACATTCCAGCCGACTGTTTTCCAGATCATCAGGTTTTAAACTAATTTGCTGCCTTCTTGCAGCTGCTGCTGTTTTCACCAGAATCAGCTGCATGAATCATACCTGCTTCCTAACTGAACACCAGCAAACACTGCATTTTATTTGTTAAAATTATATTGTTACAGCTAAGTCGTCCCCTCATCAGAGGGTTGGCGGTGCAGTTCCTAGTTTCTGCAGTCCACATGTTGAAGTGCCCTGAAGCAAGACACTGAACCCCAAGTTATTCCTGGTGATTTCACGGGTGTGGGAGGGTGGGAAGCACATGTACGTGTTAATGAAACTGCAACTTTGGCAACTGGAACCGACCTTTTTTTGAATTTTGATTAGCAGCCAAAAATAACATCTTTTGTTTGGCTGCACCTTCACTTTTGTTTTATGTATCCTGTCACCTTCAAGTAAAACAATTACATTTATGTAGGAATATGCACTACATGTGCAATAGAAACTAAATTAAGACATCACAGCTAGTTTTTGACACTGCTGATATTGACACTGGGGTCCCTGAGGGTCCTGGGGCACCGATGCAGTGACGTGCAGTCAAGCATTAAATTTTAGCCTGCATGTCGGCGTGTCTGTGTCATTTTATATTAGCTTCACTATGAACACATGAAAAAACAAAACATGTTTAGGATTACTGTAGTATAAAATGAACACTGCTGTATTTGTTTAATTAAACGCACTCTCGGACACTGTGGACAAGCCCACAGGGAGAGAAAGAAGCAGAAAGCAGGAGAAGCTGAACAAGTTGAAACTTGACAGTGTCTTTATGTCGCAACAGTACAACACGTGCCGAGCTCTACTTACTGTTATAGTCTTCTGGGCTTCATTAGAGACAAGGCTCATGTGGTTATTACTAGTGTGTTTTCAAAGGAGCAAAAATACACAAGTGGGTTGGGGCTCCTCAGACCAGTCAGCCAATCATCAACCAGGAGCTGTGGCCTTGGATGTCCATGGAACCTGCAGCCCGATAACACTGTTGCGCTTTGTCCTTCACTGAGCCCGACTAACAAAACAGCTAACACGCAGTGCCTGTAGCTAAAGTGCACTTCACTGAGCCCGACTAACAAAACAGCAACCAGCTGCCTGTAGCTAAAGTGCCAAACTAATTTCTGAATTTAATTCACACAAAAGCCATAACAGAAGCTTAACTCCACAATGTTCATAACATCCTTTGACCTGTGCACAACAGCCTCAGTTGGTGTAAGTCAGGAAGCCTCCAGCTCATGTTTTACCTGACCCACTGGATAAAAAAAAAAAAAAAAAAAAAAGACTTAGCAGGTTTAACTGATTGTGTTCACACTGGCAACGTGTAATAAAACTGTCAGATCTTGGATTTTACACAAACATCTGCCCACTTTCACATCATTGTATTGCACAGAGCTGTTTTTAGGTGAATGGACTCCAGATTCGTAAAAGTGTCATGGTTACTTGTGAAATGGATTTCAGTGGCTGAAGGCGCTCTGTGAACACAGCCTGTATGTGAGAACAGAGTCAACAATGATCTAAATGTCCAATAACAGAGAACAGAAGCTGAACCAAAGACCTGAACTCTAAGCCTTTTGTTAAACCTTGAACAATTAGTCTGTTTAAAAAAATAGACAATAAAAATAGATATGTATGAATATCAATTACATCATTATCCATGAATTTCTCAACTGTTTTCCCACTGTGTGATTATGATGCATTTCCATCCCTCTTCCAGCTGAGATGCTGCGGCTTCACCAACTACACAGACTTTGTCGGCTCAAATTTTGAAAAGATGACCGGAGGGTACCTGCCGTCCAGCTGCTGCTGGAGCAACAGCACCTCCTGCAGCCAGGACGAGGCAGAGGCCAGCGCTGTGCAGGTGAGAAAGGAAACACTACTCGAATTTAGTGTGGAACCGGGAAAGAAGCAAAAAACAAGAGTGTTTAGTTCAC